ATTTATTTCCCATCCCTTGATCGCATTACCTTACCGAATGCATGGTGATCACATGATACTACCAAATAACGTGTTCGGTAACTTCGTCTTTTAGTAATATCATTATCTTCAAAATATTCTTTTGATCGTTTCTCAATTAAACCGCAACTGTTTTTAATATTATTGTTGAAAGAAATGCACTTAAGTCACTCCTTGATGTTTCAAAACATAGCAAAAATTATATTCATACTTTATTTTTTATTGAAGATATTTCAATTATTATACAACAAAACAAGCTAAACTTATTTATTTGTTTGATGAACAATAAAATGACATATGATATTATTAGGTCGCAGCTGAAAAACAAAACAGTCCCACAACATTTTTTAGATAGTATCAAAGGGTTGTGCAATAATCATGAACTAAATCTGGAGACAATAATGGAAAGTAAAAAAAAAAATAAAAATTGTCGGCCTCAAAAATTTAATTCCTGAAACGGATCCTCAATCTCTAAAATGTGCAGTTGAGTACCGGAACTTAAAAGAGCAGAGAACTATCTTCAAGGACATTCCTGAAAAACATATTCCAAGATGATCACGTTGAAAAAAAGAAAACAAAAAAATAATATTTTCTAAGATTTTTTTTATTTATCTTGTATGAAACTCTTAATTTACTTTACTTGTTTAGTGGGTGTTTAATAAATCTAAAAATAAAAAATAAAATTGAAAGTTCCGCACGATTGTATCATAGAAAGTTGCGCACTACTTATCATAGTCACACTAGTCTTTTGAAATTCGAATAAATTAAAATTTATGCAAATTTGTCAAGTTCGTGTAGATATTTTTATGAAAATAAATTGCTAATGAGTATTTCAAGTAAATATTATATCCTTACAACTCATAATTAATTTATTTTCAATGAGAAATAGCAATCATGAAAGTTTTTTTGTTGATGTATAACATTTAGAAAATCATTGCATATTTTTCAAATTATTGCGACATTAAACACACACAAAAAAAAAGTGATAAATATATATTTAAACATTCAGGTAGTCTAAAAATGATAAAAGTATTTTTATTTTAAGTGTTCTTTAAGGAAATCATAATAATATGTATAGAGTAAGTTGGGGTAAGTTGGGGTAATTTGGGGTAAGTTGGGGTAATTTGGGGTAAGTTGGGGTAATTTGGGGTAAGTTGGGGTAAGTTGGGGTAAGTTGGGGTAATTTCGCCGCTAATTCTTTCAATTTAAATAACTTGAAAACTAAAGCACCAAAACCAGCTCCAACAACTTCATTAACATCTGCACAAATAACACCAGAACTCCATCAACGTCTTCATAAGCAATACCAACAACTCCATCAATTGCATCTCAACTACCATCATTTATCACTTCTCAATTAGTTCGAGAAGAAACACAGTTGACGAGCTAAGTATTTGAAGCTCTGAAAGCTTGAGTTTCTTTCTATCAACTGCTTTTTTATTTAATGGATAGAGACCTGTATTTTCAAAACCACTGACTGCATGGGATTATTTGAAAGCTTGCTATGATAAACGTAACTTCGAAAGAAAGAGAGGAAACGTCAGCTTATCAACATTTCTAAAACCAGTTTCTCTGTAGCGTTGTTGAAGAATTGCGCGCCAGATATTTTTAACATGACAGTAAACGCCCGAATCGAGTGGTTGGAAAAATGTTAAAGAATGGGATGGTAAATTTACTAAGTCAATATTTTACTTTTGACATAGAAACATGAGTTAAATGACCATCAGCTAATAAAACTACTCGGCCTTTACAACTTGCATTTTTAAAAGGAGAGTTAATCCATTGTACAAATTGATCCTCCACCATCCAACCAGAAGAGGAAAGAGTGTAGTACGTACCTTAGGGTCCACCAATATCCTATTGAGCCCAAAAATGCTTTGCTTTGTAGACAACAAAAGGAGGTAAATAGTTACTGTTAGCATTGCAGCAATTATTGATAGTGTAATGAATTTTTTCATTAATGCTACCAATAATATGTAGTCGCCTCGCTCCTCTTCTAATTAAGACTTTTTATAAACTTTGATCACAATCAAATCCAACTTTGTCACAGTTAAAAATATTTTGCGGTTTGTCCAATACGTCAGCATTTTTGTTAGATGTTTGAAGTGTTTTAAAAAATCCACCAATCACTTAATTCATTAGACCAGCGTTGTTTGAAACCCAGGTACCACTCGTTTGTTGTTATTTCCTTTTTTGAATAAGGCAGTTGCTTTGTTTCTTTCATATAGTTGAACACCACAGATTGAATTTCTGGGAACGATAAGCCGTAGCCCCAGTCACCTAGAACTTGAAGCATATGAAACAGTAAGAATTTAGTCACATAGCTAAGATTTGTTAATATACCAGCCCCAGCTAACCTTTCTGGATATTGAATTTTTCCTCCTAGTGTCCTTCGAGGTATACAGTATAAATCTGGAGCTCGCTTGCAACTCAGTTCGCCAGCTTTAACTTTTGCAATAGCTTTTTCCATTAGCTCTTAGCTATAATTGGTGACGGATTTTTTTCTTGTAGTTTCGCGGCATTGTTGCTTATAATTAATCGATTTAATTAATTTGAATTGATTAAAAAACCAACATGACCTGAGAAATTAATTGTCAAAAAAAGAAGATGGAGATAATACTCATTATCCAATCAAAGCGCATACTAATAATTTTTTTTAACTTTGTTAATTAATTGTTTTCCTAAATTATTTTTATTAGACATATTAATTAAATTATCTAATCAAAAGTGCATAAGACTAACATGATCTGATAAATTAATTACCAAAACAAGAGGAATGGAAATAATATTAATTATCCAATCAAAGCGCATTTCTATTTAATATAAATAGATGGTGAAATTCCCCCATTTCGTATTTCCATAATAACTTTGGAACCGATCAAATTAGAAAGAAAAAAACAGTACAAAGATTCTTTGAAAAATTTCCAATATTTTAGTCTTTTAAACTTTGAATGGAAATTAATAATTTGACTTTTATGAGAATTTTAAATTTCCTCTTTTTTTATAGATTATTTTTGTCAATTAATTTTTTTATCAAGTTTTCACAAAAAGAAGATTTTTTTACATAATTTGATAAAAAATTTGTTTTTTTTCTAATAGAAATTTGAATTATAAAAAGAACCTTATTCCTGATTAAAGTTATAGTTACACCAATAGATATACACCAATTAGTAGCGAAATTTCTAAAGTGGCGAATTGCATATATATATATATATATATATATATATATATATATATATATATATATATATATATATATATATATATATGTATATATATATATATATATATATATATATATATATATATATATATATATACATGAATATATATATATACATGATTATATATATATATATATATATATATATATATATATACATATATATATATATATATATATATATATATATATATATATATATATATATATATATATATATATATATATATATATATATATATATAAATATATATATATATATATATATATATATATATATATATATATATATATATATATATATATATATATATATATATATATATATATATATATAATAGGAACATTTATGCAACCAATTTTCATTTTTCCTTGAAAAAGATTCGATAATGAATTGATGGACTGCGCTCCGATAGGTACAAAATCATTTTTGCAGAAAAAAATGATTGGTGAGTTTTTTTTAAATGATTTGAAAATTTTGTGTACTATTCTATTGCATTGAAAATATTGAAAACAAAAATGACTCTGTAATATTTTGTTTTCTTGCGCAATGTACGCGCTGTGTACACCCACTTGATTTTGCCTTTTTTGGTCCATTACAGGTATATTATAATAAAAAGATTCAAAAGTTGCTAAGGAATCATATAGGTGGACTAGTGACGCATTTTCAGATTCCCGATCTTTTAGACATATTTTAAAATTGCAGCATGAGCAAATGCTGCGCATGCTTTGCAAAAAGTGAAATTAAACTAAATGTTTGCACCTTCATTGACAACAGAACAAGCTTAGCAGGTTAATAGCATTGACTAAACACAAGAGCTGAAGAAATCAACACATTTAAAAATTAGGTCTCCCACATTGTATGCTTCAAATTGTGTTCTCTTTCGATGCAATGGCTAAGATCAAGAATACAAAAGTTTTCTTCTGTGCCTTTTCCTACTCCTTTAAGAGTTTAAAAAAAAAACACGAAAACGGGGAAAAACTGAGCTTCTGAATACTACTCTGAATATGTTTAAAAAGGGAAACTTTAAGAAAAACGAAAAATAAAGTATTACTTGCAGGCGCGCACACACACACACATATGTGTGTACAAAATATAAAATGTGTGTGTGTGTTATATTTAATGTTAAAATACAAAATAAAAATAAAATGCAAAATTTTTTTATCGTGAGCGAACTATTAGGTGTGCATTATTATTAACAAACTTTAAAATTGATAAAATGGATGCGCTCTTTTCTTTCCAAAGCCGATTTTCCATTCAGATTTTTATGGGAAACTTCCGCGCGGAAATGTTTTTCGAGCATGCGCAAACCGTTTAATAAAAAAACTTAAGGAAAATTATGACGAAAATTATACTATATATGTAAAAAAGTAAGAAGTTCAACATTGTTGAGCTTTTATATTTTCCTCTGTCTTTTTATTAAAGCCAATTCTCCATTCAGATTTTTTCCCGCTTTAGAGGAAATTTCCAACAAAAAAAAAGTACTTTGCTTATGTGCGACCAATGTCAAATAAAAAACCTATTTAATGCTTATTGTGCATTCTCAACGCAATTTTTCGCGCGGAAACTTTCAAAAAAAATCTGAATGGATAACAAACTTTTCATATTTTTAAATCCTGCTAAGATGCTGAAAATGTTTGTTTACCAAATCTCCAAATATGGAGATTTGCAAAAAACATTTCCATATATGACTGCAATTTTAAATAAATTGAACAATTTTTAAAAAAACTTTAAAAGAAAAAAACACAATTTTTTTTTTATAATTCTCGTAGAAATATTTTTTGTTCTAGACATTATATTGAAAATAAAATATTGCCTTTTATACTTGATTATAAGATAATCGTCAACAAACCGTTAAATAAATCTAAAAAAAAAAAGCGTTGAGTGACAATATGCTTGCAACCTTACAATGTTACAATGTTGATAATATTATTACGGTGTCAATGATATGAATAATTCAAGCTCTTTATATTGAAAATATAGACAAGTTGTTAAGATTCTAATAACAGTTTTTTAGACGGAACGATTGAAATATTTGTAAAAAGTCTCTGTAGCTACTTCATAGTTAATTTGACCATCGCGTTCGATATCAGTAATCTTTACAAAATCGTTCCATTCCTCCTCCGTTAGTTGATCTCCTAGTTCTAACAATATCGTGCGTAATTCTAACAACGAAATGAATCCTGTGTCATATGGGTCAAATACAAGAAACGCAGCCACGCATTTATCCTAAATAACATTTTTCTTAAATAACATTACTAAAAAACACATTTATCTTTTATTTAATTTATCCTAAATAATCCTAAAATACTTACTTAAAAATAATTATTAATCTAGATTAAGAATCGAGTTCAAATAAGTAATTATCTATAGTAAACACCAATTAGTACTAATAATAACAAAACTTGTGATACAAGATAACGATAATTTTAACTTCCGTAGTGTATAAAAATTTTAACTTCCGTAGTGTATAAAAATTTTAACTTCCGTAGTGTATAAAAAATTAATAATAATAGTAATATTAATAATATTGAAAATGAGAATACTAAAAAGCTAATTCAGTTTAATAAATGTTTAAATATTATGTTAATTAAAAAACATTTTAAGTAGAAATGGTTTCCGTCAGTACAATGTTTTTAGTAACGTTCAATTAAAAAAGCAACAAGTTTATCAAAAAGATATCATGTTGGGTCTCAAAAGAAACAAACTTTTAATAAAAGTTTTATAAAAATTTCAAAAACAATCATCGTTTTCTATTAAAAAAAAATTGTTATAATCTATAAAAAAAATAAATAAATAAAACTAAAAAAAATTAAATAAAAAAAAATTTTATTATAATTTTATTTTTCCATTCTTTTATATAATATCACTTGTTTTGAGACCCAACATAATTTAATTTTGAAAATTTTTTTTTATAATATTAAGGACCCAATGGATGCTTAAGGGTCTTGAGCTACCCCTAAAATCATTTAATTCCAGTATTATTTTATCATAAAGAATACATTTTTAGAAGTTGAGCAGATATATATATATATATATATATATATATATATATATATATATATATATATATATATATATATATATATATATATTACAAATATATATATATATATATATATATATATATATATATATATATATATATATATATATATATATATATATATATATATATATATATTACAAATATATATATATATATATATGTATATATTTTTATTATATTGCTCACTTTTTTTGCTAGCCTAAATTAATATATATATATATATATATATATATATATATATATATATATATATATATATATATATATATATATACATATATATATATTTTACAAATATATATATATATATATATATATATATATATATATATATATATATATATATATATATATATATATATATATATTGCAAATATATATTTATATATGTATATATTTTTATTATATTGCTCACTTTTTTTGCTAGCCTAAATTAAGTGAGCGTTTTTAGAAAACAATGAGGGAAAACGAAGAATAATGAATGAAAAGGTTGCTGACCCATACCAAACCCTCAGTCGATGTAGCAGCACTCCACTGCGAGTCAGGCTATTTGTCAGTCAATGTATGTACTGAAGCCCCCGGCAGCAGGCTAAATTTAAATAGCACATCCTGTAAAAGAATCGTCATTTTGTCTCTTTGCTGTAAAAATCATAGGAGCTCTTTGTATAAATATTTAAGAAAACTTTATTTGAGGTAAATTATAATTTAGTGGGGTATCCTTTTGAGACAATAACTGCTTGACAATGACGGCCGATTGACGAGATCAATTTTTAGCATTGTTCAGGCGTAATGGCGTCCCAAGTAGCCTTTATTTCAATCCAAAATTGGTCTAAATTTGTTGCAGTTGGTTAATTTAAGTTTCTATCAACTTCCTTCCATAAATTTTATATCGGATTTAGATTTAGTAGCTGTGCGGGCCACTCCGAAACATCAATCTTGTTAGCATTAAACCACATTTTAACACTTTTGGCGGTACCAAACCAAAGAAAAGTTTTCGTCGGCATAAAGCAACACAACGTTTTCTAATATTTCTTTATACATCTGTTGATCCATTGTCCCTTGAATTCTATGCAACGGACCTTGCCTCACCATGAAAAACTGCCCCAAACAATTACCTTGCCACCACTTTGTTTTACAGTATTTAGAGTATACGGAGGGTTCTTGGTTTTATTGTTTTCCATCGGATCCAAAACAATTAAACTTAGACTCATTAGTTCAAAACACATTTTTCTAAAAACTGACGAGATGGCATTTTGAGACCAAAGGTTTTTTTCGGGCAACTCTTCCAAATAACTTATTTTAGCCTGACGGACTTTTGACAGTGCTGACAGACAGATTGAGTCGTAAATTTTGACCAATTTGATCTTTAATTTTTGGTGCGCCAGCAAAAGGATTTAGATTTACAAGAACAACCCAATCTTCGACCTATTTCTGAGATGTTCGATTCTTGATCTTGAAATGCCTGTAAATGTCCTCAAAAGACATCTGATCCATGTTTACCTCGTCTTATAGTTCAAAGAACATAGTTTTTGAAAAATGAATAACAAGTTTATTTTTAAAATACTGAGTATAATGATTTTCTTTTGATATAATACTAAAACATTGGTTATTTTCTAAGAAAAAGTAAATGTGTGATCTTTTAGTGACCTCAAAAATTTATCATGTTAGTTATGTCTCATGAGTTCTGTTCAAAAAAGTAAACACTGTTGATGCTATCAAAAAGCATCAACAATATATATATATATATATATATATATATATATATATATATATATATATATATATATATATATATATATATATATATATATATATATATATATATATATATATATATATATATCAACAATGTTTCTAGTTTTTACTTATCTAAAGGAAAAAAAAATGCAAAAAAGCAGCAGAAAACAGCTTATATAAAACTTTATTTTTGTTTATTTTTGAACAATTTTTATAAAATACTTACAGTTTCTTTTTGTAGATCTTCATCTTTTTCACCTTCGTTCATTTCTAGTTTTAAGTCGTTAAGAATCAGTTCAACAAATTTGGTAAGATCAATGCAACTTTTTCCTTTATTATTAACGGGACAAATTAGCGTTTTAAATTCATCGTTTTTGAACCCAATCATTTCAAAAGCCTACAAAATTTTTTAAATATAAATAAGTTTTTTTCTTTTGTTTTTTTCTCAGAACATATTTTGAACAAAATACAGCAAAGATATCATTTATCTTTTTAAATTTCCTTATTTTTAAATTACCTCTTTAAACTCCTCAACTTTTAATGCGTTCTCTCCGCCAAGGCTTGAACGTAAAATTTTTTTAAGTCCAACTATATGTTGAGGAAAATTCTCAATTGGTTCGCCAGAAACTTCTAAAATAAGTTTTGAGCTTTAAATACACAAGTTTGTTTTGTTCAACCAACTCTCAAGGGAATATACTTTATATACTATTTTCAAAACAGCAACAAAAAAAAAAAAAAAAAAAAACTTGTGTTCAACTAGTCCCAGTAAGACCATTAAACTCAGCGGGCACAGACGTCCGCATGACGCTTTTAAGACGTTCTTCAGATGTCATATGTCCGAAGGAAATCCCCAAGACGTCTAACGGACGTTCTGTGCCCTCTGGGAAAAGTTTTGACTAATAAAAGAAAGAAAAATGTCAAAACTTTTTAACCACTCTTTTTTTATAAATTCTACAACTGCTACTGCTAAGTTGCATTTATTTATGATAAGTGAAATTCATTAGGAGCAATATGTGTAAATTGAATTTTTCTTTTTACCCGACTCATCGTATATTTCTGAATAACTTTCTTTTGAAACCGAATCGAAAGAATCCATTTGCCAATCGAAAACTTTCTTTTTTTGCTTTTTGAAGTGAATCTTCAATATACAGATTTTTAATACTACATTAAAAATAAATAATTCAAATTTCAACAGTGGGCTTGAAAATGTCGCTGAGTTTTACTATTATAGCTTATATAATGTACTTTAAATATTTAAAAAATATTTAATGTACCTTGAATATTTTAAAAATATATAATGTACTTTAATTATTTAAAAACAAATTTAATGTAGTTTGAATTATTTGAAATAATATTTAATGTACTTTGAGTATTTAAAAATATATTTAATGTACCTTAAATATTAAGAATAAAATAGATATGCAGCTTGACTATTGTCTTATGAAACTAATATAAAAAATCTAATATAAAAAATCTAATATAAAAAATTGCATTATAACAAATTTGATGAAAACTCTGTGTTTATAAAGTTGCATTTTCACAAAGTTAGTGAAAACTTTGTGTTTATGAAGTTGTATTAAGACAAAGTCAAAATTCTGTGTTTATAAAATTGCATTAAAACAAAGTTAGTGAAAACTCTGTGTTTATAAAGTTGCAAAAATTAATTAATTTTTTATAACTTAAATAGTTATGGATAAAAAGAGTAATAAAGTTGAGGCCCTTTTTATTTAAATAATTTCTAGTTTTATTAAAAATTCCAATTATTTTAAAAATTTTGGTATTAATGATGTTTCCATGTAATGTGATCATGCAGGAAACTCCTAAAAACTTTGTAACGCAGTCTCATTTATCTCAATATGGTCCTTAAAAATTGGAGGCAGATTTATGGGTCGGTAAGATTTTTTTTTAAGCAAATGGAAAATAAATTCTTTTTTTAATTAATATTTGTAATTAATTTGTTACATTTGAACAAGGTAGAAATGTTTTTAATGAAGTTTAAAAACCTCATTATAAAAAAGAAATAGGTCGTAAGCAAACTTAATACAAAGTAGATTTAGGCTTTATTCAGGTCATTAATATAAAATCAGAAAATGTGACCATTGCGGCATCACCATATAATGAGAGCATTGCGGATCACCATATAATATATTTTATAAATCTTTTTAATAAACATCATAACTGGAATTATTGTTTTTGGTTTGATAAATAACTTTCAAACCACTTTATAATCTTGTTATTTATTCGATAGTATTTAAGTTTATGAAGTAAGATGGTATGATCTACTATATCAAATGCTTTTGAAAGGTCAATATAAATACCGAGTATGCAGTCATTTGACATGTGTATAAACATACTTAAGTTTGTAGTTTACACTATGCCTGAGAGTGCCTGAAACATCAAAAATCCTGCCAACGCTACTGAAAGTAGAAATAAAAAATAAAAACACTGAAAACGAAAAAAATTACAAAAAATATAAAAACTTTTACCAAGCACTAATTAAAAATGCAAAAAAAAGCTATTACAGTAAGCTAATTTCCAAATACAAATTTAATAGTAAAAAAACATGGTCCATAATTAATAATATAATCGGTAAAGAAAAAAAAAATTTCATCTTTACTACCTAAAAGAATTAATATTGATAATACTGATATATACAATGAAAACTTAATTTCAAAAAAGTTCAACAAGTATTTTACAAGTATTTTTATTTTGGCCGAAACAACAAGTATTTTTATTTTGGCCGAAATCTTACCAATAAGATAACACCAACATTAGAATCATTTAAAACCTACCTAAAACCCTCTAATGACAAAATATTGTATGACAATGAATTAATCTATAAAGAATTTGAAATAGCATACTCTTCTTTAAAAAAAAATAAATCCCCAGGATATGATGAAATACCTAGCAACATAGTTATTTTTAACAAAACTAGTTTATGCAAACCTCTACTTCATATACTAAAACTCTCATTAAAGTTTGGTGTTTTCCCTGATGCTCTTAAAATAGCTAAAGTAATCCCAATTTACAAAGGTATCGATCATTCTAACATTACAAATTATAGACCTATATCTTTACTTTTTGTATTCTCAAAATTGTTTGAACGCGTAATTTATAATAGAATATTCGAATATTTTACTAAAAATAACTTATTCTACCCAAAACAATTCGGATTTCAAAAAAATCACTCGACTGAGCATGCAATTATTGAAATAGTCAACTAAATAACTGATGGGTTTGACAATAACAATTTTACTTTAGGAGTATTTATAGATCTATCTAAAGCATTCGACACAGTCGACCATTGCATTCTCTTACAAAAAATTAAGCATTATGGTTAATTAATTCAACCTATTTCTGGATTAAAAGTTTTCTTACTGATAGAAAGCAATATGTTCATAATGTGCAATCCGGAATATTAAATGTCGTTTGCGGAGTTCCACAAGGATCAATCCTTGTTCCTCTCTTATTCTTAATCTATATTAACGACGTAATGCATCATTAAAACTGAACTCAATAATGTTTGCAGACTATACTAATTTATTTCTTACCAATAATCATATTAAACATCTTTATACAGATATGAACATAGAATTGAATAAAGTAAATAGTTGGTTTAAAGCTAACAAACTCACACTTAATGTTGAGAAAACCAACTATACTCTATTCTATAAAAAAACACAAGAATTAAACATTCCTCTTAAATTGCGCGAACTGTACTTAAATGATACAATAATTAAAAAGCAAGCAAGTATAAAATTCCTCGGAATCCTTGTCGATGAAAATTTATCCTGGCTTCCCCATATAAATTACATACATTCAAAAGTTACCAAAACTATTGGCGTAATGTATAGGGTTAGACCATTCGTCAATATGTTAAGTCTCAAATTAATATACTTTGGACTGATACACTGTTTTATTAATTATGCAAATATACCATGGACAAGTACGCAAACTTCAAAACTTCAAAAAATTTATAGGCTCCAAAAACACGCTTGCCGTATTATATACTGTAAACATAAACGTGAATATGCAAAACCTCTTATGAGAGATATGAAAATGATGGATATATTTGAAATAAATATTTATCAGCATCTAATTTTTATGTATAGATACTATAACAACCTCTTGCCAGCAAACTTCAAAGATAAGTTTAAAATAAATTCAAATGAAAAGTATGGTCTAAGATCAAATAAAAACTTTAAATTGCCTCGGAAATGTAATAAACTCTCAGAATTTTGTATATCTTATTGAGGACCTAAATTATGGAATGACTGTCAAAAAGAACTTAAATTTATGGTGAAGTCTTTAAATTCATTTAAGTTTCAATTAAAAAAAGAAATTTTTAAAATTTGAACTAAAGATAAAGTTTTTTCTTTTTACTTTTTTGATTAATTTAACCTTGTCTTTAATGATAACATTTAATTAATTTATTTTATTTTTCGTCATTTGACACATTTTACAATGTTAACCTTACATTCAAATAAATTTATACAAATGCAAGCTGACTGGGGCAAGTAGAAGACAAAATGTCTTATCATCAAGCCCCTTCGTGAAAATAAAAAAAATAAAATTTTTTTACAATTTCCAATAATATATAAAAGATTGAAATTAAAAAAAGTTTAAAAAAAACAAATTAAAAAGTTTGAAAAAATCAAAAAGTTGAAAAAATAATTTTTAAGTTTGACAAAACTAAAAAGTTTGAAAATAATAAAAAATAAAAAAGTTTGAAAAAATAATTTACAAATCCGTACATATGCGTATACATATCCAATAAACTTCATAATATTTAAATATACAAAAGATATTTTGAATTAAAAAAGATTTACTACTCATTTTTTTTTTTAAACAAAATTAAAACAGACAAACAAAAAGAAACAAGAAGAATATATATAAGAAGGATATATGTATATATATACACATACACACATACATATACACATATACACATACACGCATATACACACATACATATATACATACACACATACGCATACACACATATACATACACACATATACATACATGTATACAGCCTTGTTTTAAATAAAAAAGTGCTTAATGCATTAGCTTAACGCGATTTTGACGTCATAAAATTATCTTTATTTTTTTTTATAGGCGTTAAGTGTTTTAACTACCGCAATAAATAAATAACCGCAAACTAATTCAATTTAACAATTAACTCAAATATAAACTATAAACGTTTTAAATATAAATTTATTATGAAAATTTTGTAATGTTTTCAATTGTTATTTTATTATTAATTTTAGTTCAATATTATTTAGTGAAAAAAAAAAAATTTATATATATTAATTATTTCTGAAATTTGTTTTTGAATAATTGTTTTTAATCGTTATTGAATAAAAAATAATAATGATTTTTTTTATTTTTAAAAATTTCTAGAGTAAACAAAAAATATTAACATTGATAAACACAAACCCATGTTAATGATTTTTAATTATATTTAAACAACGATTTTGTTTTGACTAGCAAAGAAAAATTTAAGTTTTTAAATATTTTTTAAGTTTTTGAAAGCGTTTCAACTTGCGTTTTATAAAAATATAAAAAAGTTTTGTCAGCTTTGAAGCGTATTTTTGATACGTAGTTTAGAACGCGTTCGCCAGGAATTTAATTCATAAACTTTTTATGTTATTGTAAAAATATTTAACTTTTTAAACAAATCACAAAGAAACAGAGCTATAGAGAAAAATTGTTTTCAACGATTAAATCTTTTTTTTTTTTTTAATTTTAGGAAATTAAAAAAAAAATAAATTAAATATGAAAGTCTTAATTATGCAAACTCTTTTATTAATTATTCTTAAAACAAAAAAACAAATACTTGTACGCCAAACTTTAATCGTGCAAACTTATAAAAATACTCAACTGAAATAATTTAAGTATATTTAATAATTTGAATCGTATCTGTTTATAATAAACGTTCGTAAAAATTTGTTTATTAAAAATTAAGTTCCTTAACTTATAAACAAACTCAAAAGTATTTTCATTCTACGTATAATTACAAAACTCTTTTTTTTTTCGTTTGTAAGCAATTTAAATTAATAAAATAAAAAAAAGAATAAATATGAGGTAATCTTTGTTAAGAATAAATTTAATTTATTTATTGAACTATATTTTTATTTTTAATTATAT